AAATTAAAAAAAAAATCCAGAAACTTAAGTTTTTCTAGAATATTTTCTCAACAATTTACAAGAAAAAACTTCTTAGAAAATATTTTAATTTCTTTAATATATGTTTAAAGATTAGTTTTTGTTTATAAAAAAAAACTTTCAGAAATTGTTTTTTTACAATTAGAATTTTTTTGCTATTTCCAAGGTTACTTATAGATCGAGAAAAGGCCTGGCCGCTTACTTTTTTTAGACCTGCAGTGCTAAGTTAATTCTCTCCCCTCTCTCCCTCATTTCCCCCTTTCTCCCTTTCTTTTTCTCTCTTTCTCTCTCTCTCTCTCCTTTCTCTCTCTTTCTTCTCTTCCTCTCGATTCTCACTTCCCCTCTCTCTCTACTCTCTTCCTCTCTCTTATCCTACTCTCCTACTCTCTTCCCCTCTCCTCCCCTATCTTCTCTCTCTCCTTTTTTCTCTTCTTCTTTCTCTCTCCCCTCTTCTTTTCTCACCTCTCTCTTCTCTTTATGTTTCTCAGAGTTCAGAGAGGCCCTGACAGCTTGAAGCCTTCTGGATATTAAATGATAAACAAAAATAGCCTTAAAATGTTTATTATACAGTACTTTTAAATAATAAAATTCGATAAAGAGAATTTTATAATTCACACAACGGAATGAATATTTTGTAGCAAAAGTTCTTGAGGCCCTTGTAAATGCGAGGCCCTACCCAAATATCTTTCTACAGACCTTTTGTGATAGGGCTCGGTAATTACTTAAATATTACCACGTGATAAATGAAGAAACTAAAAATAAATTATGATTAATTATAATCCATACTTTTAAATTACTCCCGTAGATTATAGTCTAAATACTAGAATTAAATTAATGCCCTTGAAATAAATTTTATTTTAAAGTTGTTATATAATTTCACACCTGCTTTTAAAAGGCCAGAATATATATTAATTTTCTGTATAATTATTGCAGATTGCTTAATTATTGGGTTATATAAAGAAGCATCCCTTGCAGCATCGACAGTTTCCAGTTCAGGTGAGTACTTATACTGTAATCTGTATAGAACCGTACTATTCATATATTCTATACGTTTACTAATTTATAATGAAATTGATTGTAAAATATTTTAAATACAAAATAAATTTTTACAGATTTTACTTTCTATATTTTAAAATTTTCATTACTTTATTTCTAGAATAAAAAATTCTATAATTTTTAATCTAGTTTTAGTTTGTTTTATTCTAGAATTAAAAATAAAACTTAGATTCAAATTTTTGTATAAGAATTTTAAATTTATTACAAAATCAATTTTTAAGATTAGTTTTTATACTTTAAGAAAAACAGCCGAACCTCCAAACAACGGACACTTCAAACAAAGGCCACGTTTTATGTCCCTGTCAGTGGCCGTTATTCAAAGGTTTTATTGTATATATAATATATTTTTTAATGTTATGATGTACAGGGACAGGTCATTATTAAAATCGACAACATATATTTTAAATTAGATAAATTAAAAATTGCAACCTGGCATTTTGTCGATTTTTGTTATTGCAGTTCTTTAAACAAATAAACAATTAAATTTGATTACAGAATAAAGTATAAGTTCAAATTATTCTAAAATTACTTATAGACCTATCTTAACTTATTCTAGAAAGATTTAATTAATTTATTTTATTTATATGAAGTTCATTGGAATTTAAATATATCTTTTTTCTCTAGAATATTGTTGTAGTAGTTATGTAAGATATGATCTTTCTGTTTCAGGAACGTATTTTCTAGAAAATTTCTATTACAATTTAAACGTTACAGATTATTTATCTATTTCAGAAATTGGCAAATTTTCTAGAATATTTCTGTTCAATTTGTTCAAAAGTTGTTCATTTCTGAAATAGAAATAAAGTTCAATTTCTGAGCTTCGTTTCTATTTCAGAAATCAACAACTTTTCTAGTATTCTGGAATATTTCTATTGTAATTTAATTGTTATAAATTATGTTCGTTTCAGAAATTGATGAGTTTTCTAGAAAAGTTTCTATTACCGTTTAAAATGCTTGACATTTTAAAAGAAATTAATATTTAAACATAAAAGTGTCTTATTTTCTATTACGGATATAAATAAATATTCAGAATTTTTATACTATTTTTAAACGTCATTTAAGCTTCGTTATTAACTAATTTACTATTCTTACCGAATTTAAAATAAATGATAAATAAAAATACAATTTATTTTTATATTATCCAATTTATGATAGAGATTATTTATAATAAATAATAAATATGTGCACTTAAAATTGGATTATTTATCTGTATTCATTTTTTTTAATATTTTAATTATACAACGATATTTTTAGTGATAAATGCTAGAATTTTTACATGTAAATATTAATATAGGGTGATAAAGATGTAAAATTTTTATACGAATCTTCAATCCATCATCTGTAATATACTATTATTTAAGTTATGTTTTAGGAACGAATGTGACCAAAGCTAGCCTTAAACCATTGTATAAGCTATATAAAACTAATGTTATTAAAATATTTATAAACTGTAAATATAACGTTTTAAAAGCTCTACTCACTATCAATAATTGAAAACAGTAAAAGCTGAGTTCCGTAGTGTTGAAAAATTCTGTTTATTTGTTAATTAATAATATATACTGGTGTTTGCTGTCAATGTTCAGGCTCAGTATTGGACAGAGTAGTATTAATTTATAGTATAAAAATGGTAAAATATATTCAAATCATTGATTTTTATCGTAAGAATTTTTAAAGAAATAGTTGAACTATATAATATTATTAACATTATTGTTATTTATTAAAACTTTTAAGGGCATGGTCAACATAAGGCCCATCTAATGAATTTATGCAGCCCGCGATCTTTCAATAATAGCTAGTTAAGTCCGAATACCTCGACGAAAAATTCTGACGCCTAGAGAAAAAAAAGGTCAACAACTCACTGTGCATTGAGAGTTAACGCACAGCATAGAATGTTGATAATGTATGATAATGTGAAAAATGTATCTTCTGTAATCCCTATGTACAATTTAGTCTCTACGGGGTGACACCACAATGAGGTCTCGCACCACCTCAAAATCTTCCTAGGGCAGCCTCTGGCTCAGCCTGTGAAAAAAGTTTCTTTCCAATTTGGTCCGGGGGCAAAAACTGTTGGCCACCCCTGGTCTATACTGTAAAGTATCTTATGTAATATTAGACTATGTTCTTCTGTTACTATTTTACTCTTTTAGCAGTGTTGTAAAACAGATCTTTATATTCAAAAATAATTAATTTTAATGTACTAATAGTTTAAATATTTATAATTTCAGAAATGGATTCGAAGGAAAAGGGTTTTCTTCTAACTCTTTTCATTATTACAAATTGGTGTTTAATTGATGCTCGGCTAATCAATGGAATATTCCAAAGTAAGTAAAATTGATTTCATTGTAAACTAGTTGCGTGTTCCTGGCGTTACTCTGAATTTTGTGGATGAAAAATTGATGAGGTTGGGTTAGGAGAGGGTCTTAGTAACTGAAATATACATTTATTAACTTGAGTATTTACAATAATGAAACTGCAAAACACAATTGCTCGGGTTTAAGTGGAGGTGTGTTTTAGAGGTGATTGGTGATGGGGACCCTATACTGTATTTTTTAGTTTGTCGAAGAATATTCATCCCAAATTTGGTGCGGATAGATTGAACGATATGGAAGACTTTACCTAGCATACCATTTGTGAGGAATCAACTAGATAACAGCTACAATATGCCTATTACTGAGATTTTGATAGGTTTAACCCTGCTGACCCTAAATAGGGCTGGCCAGTCTATAAGGGTTAGCCTCGTCAAGACCCCATGAATTAGAAATAGGGAACGAAGCTCTGAATCATACTATTCACGATAAATTATGGCGGTTGTGGTAGATTTGAATCCTGATCCCCAAGTAGATGGGCTGATCCTTATCATTCAGCCATTTCGCAGATCTGAACATATTTCGAGTTGTAATTAAAATTTAAATAGCAAGCTGCAGTTGAAGATGAATTAAAACTTCTTTTAGTTAACTTATGTTATTTTAATATAGTAATAGTTTTATTAGAACACTTAAGGCTGTAAAGGTCTTTTAACAATTAAGGAGTGAAAGCACTTATGTTTTGTAATTGGTCATTAGTTAACTAATCAAATATAAAAATAAAAAGTTAAGTTTGTATTATATGTCTTACACTGTAGTTATGCTGTAACATTAATATTAACGAGAGTTTATTATTATTTAGATTAGTTTTTAAACATTTTTACTTAGGTTGATCTTCTATTCAGTACGGATCAATCATATCCTGATATTTTACAGTCAGTTTTCTATTCCATGCTCACACTAACCTATCCCGTTGTGAACGGGTATCATCCATTATGAACACAATAGACTTTAGATATACATAGGCCATAACATGCTGCTGTTTCCAGGGGCGGACTGGCCATGTGGATAATGTGGAAAATTCCACATGGGCCGTATACAGTTTGGGCCGTTTTTTCTAAATATGTACATAATGTACCGTTTGGTTAAGTTTAATTTTAAAAAATTCATTTATTTTTTTTTAAGTAAGGTAAATTTCAATTTTTAGATATAATATAGGTATAAGTGTAGGCAGTGTCGTAACTAGCCATTCCTGTGCCCTGTGCAAGAACTTGCATTTAGGCCCCTTAATTAATTAGGTTTGGGAAAATAATAAAACAAACACGTGCATTTTGGGACCCTCTTCCAAATGGGCCCTGTGCGGGTGCATCTGTTGCACCTGCCTAGTTACGGCACTGTGTGTAGGCCTGTATCATTTTACCCGGCCCTACCCGTATCCGAAGTTAAATTAGTTCGGCCGATCTGAGTCAAACACTACATTAGTCCGATTCGGCCCAAACAGAAAGCATCCTAGGAGAAAAATAATCAAAACTACCTTCTAAACAGAGAAAATTGGTCATTTGTTTACATTGCTAGAAACCGTTCACCACTCCTATGAATCTTAATGCTAAACTATANGGTCGATACCCTCAGGGTTACAATATGAGCTATTATTATACATTGAATGGTTCAGTACCACATTCTCAATGGTACCAATATCAAAATGGTCGATACCCTCAGGGTTACAATATGAGCTATTATTATACATTGAATGGTTCAGTACCACATTCTCAATGGTACCAATATCAAAATGGTCGATACCCTCAGGGTTACAATATGAGCTATTATTATACATTGAATGGTTCAGTACCACATTCTCAATGGTACCAATATCAAAATGGTCGATACCCTCAGGGTTACAATATGAGCTATTATTATACATTGAATGGTTCAGTACCACATTCTCAATGGTACCAATATCAAAATGGTCGATACCCTCAGGGTTACAATATGAGCTATTATTATACATTGAATGGTTCAGTACCACATTCTCAATGGTACCAATATCAAAATGGTCGATACCCTCAGGGTTACAATATGAGCTATTATTATACATTGAATGGTTCAGTACCACATTCTCAATGGTACCAATATCAAAATGGTCGATACCCTCAGGGTTACAATATGAGCTATTATTATACATTGAATGGTTCAGTACCACATTCTCAATGGTACCAATATCAAAATGGTCGATACCCTCAGGGTTACAATATGAGCTATTATTATACATTGAATGGTTCAGTACCACATTCTCAATGGTACCAATATCAAAATGGTCGATACCCTCAGGGTTACAATATGAGCTATTATTATACATTGAATGGTTCAGTACCACATTCTCAATGGTACCAATATCAAAATGGTCGATACCCTCAGGGTTACAATATGAGCTATTATTATACATTGAATGGTTCAGTACCACATTCTCAATGGTACCAATATCAAAATGGTCGATACCCTCAGGGTTACAATATGAGCTATTATTATACATTGAATGGTTCAGTACCACATTCTCAATGGTACCAATATCAAAATGGTCGATACCCTCAGGGTTACAATATGAGCTATTATTATACATTGAATGGTTCAGTACCACATTCTCAATGGTACCAATATCAAAATGGTCGATACCCTCAGGGTTACAATATGAGCTATTATTATACATTGAATGGTTCAGTACCACATTCTCAATGGTACCAATATCAAAATGGTCGATACCCTCAGGGTTACAATATGAGCTATTATTATACATTGAATGGTTCAGTACCACATTCTCAATGGTACCAATATCAAAATGGTCGATACCCTCAGGGTTACAATATGAGCTATTATTATACATTGAATGGTTCAGTACCACATTCTCAATGGTACCAATATCAAAATGGTCGATACCCTCAGGGTTACAATATGAGCTATTATTATACATTGAATGGTTCAGTACCACATTCTCAATGGTACCAATATCAAAATGGTCGATACCCTCAGGGTTACAATATGAGCTATTATTATACATTGAATGGTTCAGTACCACATTCTCAATGGTACCAATATCAAAATGGTCGATACCCTCAGGGTTACAATATGAGCTATTATTATACATTGAATGGTTCAGTACCACATTCTCAATGGTACCAATATCAAAATGGTCGATACCCTCAGGGTTACAATATGAGCTATTATTATACATTGAATGGTTCAGTACCACATTCTCAATGGTACCAATATCAAAATGGTCGATACCCTCAGGGTTACAATATGAGCTATTATTATACATTGAATGGTTCAGTACCACATTCTCAATGGTACCAATATCAAAATGGTCGATACCCTCAGGGTTACAATATGAGCTATTATTATACATTGAATGGTTCAGTACCACATTCTCAATGGTACCAATATCAAAATGGTCGATACCCTCAGGGTTACAATATGAGCTATTATTATACATTGAATGGTTCAGTACCACATTCTCAATGGTACCAATATCAAAATGGTCGATACCCTCAGGGTTACAATATGAGCTATTATTATACATTGAATGGTTCAGTACCACATTCTCAATGGTACCAATATCAAAATGGTCGATACCCTCAGGGTTACAATATGAGCTATTATTATACATTGAATGGTTCAGTACCACATTCTCAATGGTACCAATATCAAAATGGTCGATACCCTCAGGGTTACAATATGAGCTATTATTATACATTGAATGGTTCAGTACCACATTCTCAATGGTACCAATATCAAAATGGTCGATACCCTCAGGGTTACAATATGAGCTATTATTATACATTGAATGGTTCAGTACCACATTCTCAATGGTACCAATATCAAAATGGTCGATACCCTCAGGGTTACAATATGAGCTATTATTATACATTGAATGGTTCAGTACCACATTCTCAATGGTACCAATATCAAAATGGTCGATACCCTCAGGGTTACAATATGAGCTATTATTATACATTGAATGGTTCAGTACCACATTCTCAATGGTACCAATATCAAAATGGTCGATACCCTCAGGGTTACAATATGAGCTATTATTATACATTGAATGGTTCAGTACCACATTCTCAATGGTACCAATATCAAAATGGTCGATACCCTCAGGGTTACAATATGAGCTATTATTATACATTGAATGGTTCAGTACCACATTCTCAATGGTACCAATATCAAAATGGTCGATACCCTCAGGGTTACAATATGAGCTATTATTATACATTGAATGGTTCAGTACCACATTCTCAATGGTACCAATATCAAAATGGTCGATACCCTCAGGGTTACAATATGAGCTATTATTATACATTGAATGGTTCAGTACCACATTCTCAATGGTACCAATATCAAAATGGTCGATACCCTCAGGGTTACAATATGAGCTATTATTATACATTGAATGGTTCAGTACCACATTCTCAATGGTACCAATATCAAAATGGTCGATACCCTCAGGGTTACAATATGAGCTATTATTATACATTGAATGGTTCAGTACCACATTCTCAATGGTACCAATATCAAAATGGTCGATACCCTCAGGGTTACAATATGAGCTATTATTATACATTGAATGGTTCAGTACCACATTCTCAATGGTACCAATATCAAAATGGTCGATACCCTCAGGGTTACAATATGAGTTATTATTATACATTGAATGGTTCAGTACCACATTCTCAATGGTACCAATATCAAAATGGTCGATACCCTCAGGGTTACAATATGAGTTATTATTATACATTGAATGGTTCAGTACCACATTCTCAATGGTACCAATATCAAAATGGTCGATACCCTCAGGGTTACAATATGAGTTATTATTATACATTGAATGGTTCAGTACCACATTCTCAATGGTACCAATATCAAAATGGTCGATACCCTCAGGGTTACAATATGAGTTATTATTATACCTTAAACAGTTCAATTCCCCAAAATCAATGGAATCTATATTATAATAATCAACCACAAGGATATAACAGGACATATTATTATACTATAAATGGTTCAATACCACAGTATCAATATCAGTGGTATCAGTATAATTATAGACTTGGAATGGAATATTATCCGTATGAAAATGAATCGCATATTTCTTACATTCAATATCCACAAGGATATCAGAATTATCAATATAATAACTCTTTCCCTGAAAATCAATCACGCTCTACCATTTGGAATAGAACTTATTATTACACTAGTAATGGTACAAGAGTACCATACTATCCAAATGAAGAATATTGGAATGGAAATCAATATAACACTTACAACAAAACCTATCGTTATACAGTCAACATAACTCTGCCTACGGAAACATACAATTTCAGTAGTCGTCCAGAAGGATATTTTGAATATTTTCCGTATCAGAATGGTTCGATGGTGTCATTCAGGGACAATTCAGAAAATATGGGTTTTAGTTATTATCATTATCGCCAACACACCTATAGCCCATTGCAATCTCAGTATAAATGGAATGCAACTTACTACTACATGATGAATGGAACTGTTCCTCAATATCAATATAATTGGAGCCACTCAGGAGAAAGTAATATGAACTTCTTTTATCCGTATCAAAATGGATCAATTGTTTCCTTCAGAGATCTTCCAGAAGGTCAAGCATTTACTTATCAGTATATGTATCATTATAATACTACACTTCCAGCAGGATCGCAATATAGCAGGTGGTATACAACTTATAACGGAACTGTACCTCATCAATATCAATATAGTTACAATATAAGTCAACCCGGATATCAATTTCATTATTATTATCCTTACGAAAACGGTTCAGTTGTATCATATAGAGATTTTCCTGAAGGTTCGATATATTCTTATCAATATAACAGCAGCTATCCTACCGGTATGCGATATCATAAAACTTGGAATACAACTTATTATATGGTAAATGGAGTTAAATATTATTATAATATAACTCAACCAAGCGGATCATATCAATATCAATATCCTTCCCAAAATGAATCTAATGGATATCAAAGTGGTTCAGTTTACAGATATTATTATCAATATAACAATACTTATCCTCAATATCAACATGGAAAATGGAATGCAACATATTCCTTTGTTATCAATGGAACAAATCCTACAGGAAACGGACATCCTGTAGATTTATTTTTTCCTTTTAGAAATGGTTCTGTGGTTTCTTACAATGAAAATTCAAGTAGTTATTCTTCATATTATTATTCTTATCACAAAAACGGAACTGCGCCATATTCTGAAAGTCATAATGAAAATCAAAGATTTAATTATGAATCTAATACAGGAAACAGTGGAAATTCTGGATTTTTACGTTATACCATAACACCAAACGGGCAAACAAAAAATGAATCTTATTATCCCCAAGGCCAAGGAGCTTGGAGTTATTCATGGTATAAGAATGGTTCCACAAATAATGAGAATAGTCAAAATCATGGAATCAATGGGTATTATGTAACAAACAGGACGTATACTCGATACGGAGGCTATCAATCTGAATCTCCTCATAAACGTTGGAATTACACAATGACTTATCAGTATCCAAACGAAAGAAATATGGGAATGTATAATAGATCATGGGTAACTGGTTCCTATTCGCCTGAAGATTATGGAAAATATGGTTCTGGCGAGTATAATCGTTTTAACCTCAGCCTTTATAGAAAATTGAATGATCAATCCTGGCAATATCAACATCCTGCTGGAAATTCAGGAATGTGGCGCGCTAATTTTACTTACACTTACAAGTATCCTAATGGAACAATAGTAACGCAACGTCATTCTGGTTATAACAGCAATATGAGTTTATCTGCATGGAATTCTTCAGCACAACTTCACCATTTATCTTCGCAAAGTTTTGAATATCCAGCAGTAAGTCACTCAAGAGCCTGGAATATATCTGTGAATTATGGTTATTTTCCAAATGGTACGAGATATTACACAAACAGAGAAAATAGTGGAGGAATATATTCCCAAAACACATATGATAATGGAGGAAAGGGTGTAGTATATAGTTACAGCAAAAGTAACGGTGGAAATGGCGCGTATAATTTTAATACACTTAACAGCGGAGTAAATGGTAGTGCTTATAGTTATGGTACACACAACAAGGGAGGAAATGCTGGTTCCTATACACAGAACATATGGGGAACGCCAGAACAAGAAACTTCGAGTGAACCAACAAACATACAAGAAATACTTGAGGAATTGAAGGAAGAACAAGAAGAGAAATCAACACAGAACATATGGGGACAGACAGAACAAGGAACTTCGAGTGAACCAACAAACTTACAAGAGACAATTAGTGAGTGGGAGAAAGAGCAAGAATTGAACCCTATGCCAAATAGAAATAAGGGAAACTTGAATGAAGAAATAGAACAAATCAATTCAAATGAGCTTGTTAACCGAGAGAATTGGGGACAAAGCAAATTTAAAGAAAATCCGGAAAAATTTACTCAATATCCTAATCTCTCGTATCCAGGACAATCTGGTCAGGAAAATTATAATAAACTTCAGTACCAGCAAGATCAGTATTATCCGAATTTTAATTGGAATTATACTGATCAGACAGGCGTGCGACAAGACATTTCTAAATGGAATTATTCTATGCAAGATTTATCTTCAAGATATCCTGAATATCAGCAAAATTATTATTATTATTTGCAGTACAGAAATCATTCTTTTCCAGCAGGGCAATATAATCAAACTATATGGAACAATAATATGAATGGTCAGTATCCGCATGGTCCAAATTCTAACAATAATTGGATGAATATGTCGTACTTCTATAATCATCAAAATGAAAGTGGACAATACATGAATCCTCAAGATCAGCATTATTGGTATAGATATTCTCAATTTTATAATCAAAGTGGCAAGTCTATTCCAGGTTATAACCGAACTTCTTATTATACTATGAATGGATCAATGCCTCAAAATCAATATATCTGGTATCAATATCAAAATGGTCGATATCCTCAGGGTTACAATATGAGCTATTATTATACATTGAATGGTTCAGTACCACATTCTCAATGGTACCAATATCAAAATGGTCGATACCCTCAGGGTTACAATATGAGCTATTATTATACATTGAATGGTTCAGTACCACATTCTCAATGGTACCAATATCAAAATGGTCGATACCCTCAGGGTTACAATATGAGTTATTATTATACCTTAAACAGTTCAATTCCCCAAAATCAATGGAATCTATATTATAATAATCAACCACAAGGATATAACAGGACATATTATTATACTATAAATGGTTCAATACCACAGTATCAATATCAGTGGTATCAGTATAATTATAGACTTGGAATGGAATATTATCCGTATGAAAATGAATCGCATATTTCTTACATTCAATATCCACAAGGATATCAGAATTATCAATATAATAACTCTTTCCCTGAAAATCAATCACGCTCTACCATTTGGAATAGAACTTATTATTACACTAGTAATGGTACAAGAGTACCATACTATCCAAATGAAGAATATTGGAATGGAAATCAATATAACACTTACAACAAAACCTATCGTTATACAGTCAACATAACTCTGCCTACGGAAACATACAATTTCAGTAGTCGTCCAGAAGGATATTTTGAATATTTTCCGTATCAGAATGGTTCGATGGTGTCATTCAGGGACAATTCAGAAAATATGGGTTTTAGTTATTATCATTATCGCCAACACACCTATAGCCCATTGCAATCTCAGTATAAATGGAATGCAACTTACAACTACATGATGAATGGAACTGTTCCTCAATATCAATATAATTGGAGCCACTCAGGAGAAAGTAATATGAACTTCTTTTATCCGTATCAAAATGGATCAATTGTTTCCTTCAGAGATCTTCCAGAAGGTCAAGCATTTACTTATCAGTATATGTATCATTATAATACTACACTTCCAGCAGGATCGCAATATAGCAGGTGGTATACAACTTATAACGGAACTGTACCTCATCAATATCAATATAGTTACAATATAAGTCAACCCGGATATCAATTTCATTATTATTATCCTTACGAAAACGGTTCAGTTGTATCATATAGAGATTTTCCTGAAGGTTCGATATATTCTTATCAATATAACAGCAGCTATCCTACCGGTATGCGATATCATAAAACTTGGAATACAACTTATTATATGGTAAATGGAGTTAAATATTATTATAATATAACTCAACCAAGCGGATCATATCAATATCAATATCCTTCCCAAAATGAATCTAATGGATATCAAAGTGGTTCAGTTTACAGATATTATTATCAATATAACAATACTTATCCTCAATATCAACATGGAAAATGGAATGCAACATATTCCTTTGTTATCAATGGAACAAATCCTACAGGAAACGGACATCCTGTAGATTTATTTTTTCCTTTTAGAAATGGTTCTGTGGTTTCTTACAATGAAAATTCAAGTAGTTATTCTTCATATTATTATTCTTATCACAAAAACGGAACTGCGCCATATTCTGAAAGTCATAATGAAAATCAAAGATTTAATTATGAATCTAATACAGGAAACAGTGGAAATTCTGGATTTTTACGTTATACCATAACACCAAACGGGCAAACAAAAAATGAATCTTATTATCCCCAAGGCCAAGGAGCTTGGAGTTATTCATGGTATAAGAATGGTTCC